TGGAAAATTAAAATTCTTCGTGCAAACATTTAACAAAGAAATTGGAAATCAAAACTTGTACACGCATCCTGCCGTATAATAAACCCTGACAAGCCTTGTGCGGACAGCGGGCCGTAGTTTTCCGAGAATTGCATTCTAGAATTTTCCGTCTTCCTTGAAGCCATGGGACGAAATTAAATGATGACGTCACTTGAAGAGTTCTGCGACCTGCAGGAATCTTTTACTAAAAATACATCTCTCTAGGTATCGCTAGGTACCATTGACGGACGCATAACACATTAAAGGTTTCTGAAACGTCTGTCAGGGTTCCTGTCAATGCATGTCTCCTGTTGCAGAACATAGGCCAAGCAATTAAAATCTTGCAAAATTCTTGTGTAGTCAATTTTTATATTAGATTCTTCGCAATCAATGTTATTATTTGAGGCACATAGAAAACAAAACTAACGTGCAGTTGGATTCGATTCAGCGTCTGTGATTTTCATAAGATATTTTCCATATTGATCAGACTGATTCCGGAATTCCCATTTGATCAGGAATCAAATTCCATTTTTCAACCCAAAGACGAATTATGTATATCACCTCTTTTACAACTTTTACTCAACGGCCTTCAAAAGTCCCGGACTTTTCAAACCATATTCTAATAAGTATGTTGGTTTCGAATTCATCCATCTAATTACGAGCACTTCATTCCCATAATCATGCACTTCATCATCATATATGGAGCATATGCATAATTATATGCATATATAATCATATATGGATCCATTGACGAAGCCGGCGATTCGATATCCAATAGTTGTATACAGAAGGCAAAAAAGACCCAATCCCAAAGAAATGCCATTAGTTTATGAGAAATATCCAACAAATGGCTGAAATCAAGCGTGGAACGATAGGTATATTAAATAGATCCAATAACTTAATCTGTTGTACTTTTCTAGATTTTAATTAGGCACCAATAAAAAGTTCATTGAAAACCCTGGAAGCCATTTTCTTGCTAATGAGCAATATTTTTCATCAATGCTTTTCATCAATACGGAAAGAAAAAAAGACTAGTCATTGCTATTGAATAAAGTAACCTAGGTCATATGTTGCCCCAGTCTGAACTACATAATAAATGCTGGAATTAAGCTCAATTTGAATTTGCAAGGACTATTTCTTGCTATGAGAAAAATAAAATTCGCTCGCTTTTTTTTCAATTAAAATTCGCTCGCTTAAATAGAGTATTTCTCCACGAAATGTATCATATTTACTTGGTTAACCTCTTGGGAGTTGGAAGCTTTGACGTTCTGTAACATGTTTTACATTGACGGCTAAAAGTGAACTTGCAATACAGCCGAGGCTTAAATGCACCTCCGCACTGTTAAACTCTTTCAGGTTTATAAGTCAAATGTTACCAATATCCTTTTGTAACAGTATATTTGTAAGAATTTAAACTCTTCATTTAAATGTTCGGTATACCTCAAGCAGTCAGCCTCCAATTGTTTTTAGTGTGTTAAGTAGAGAGGCAGCAAAACTTTCTATTCAAGATCCATTGATAAAAAGAAAACACATTTTAAATAATAAAAAAATTCTATAAAAAAATGAGTACTAGTGTGTGCAAATTAATTAGTTTTCATATTTTCGCGGAAATGACAAAAATTTTCACCAGTTTTTTTCTGATAAATTTATATGGTAAAAAAAGTATTTTACCCACTTGGAAGAAGGATACTCGGGCAATAGTTGCGTTCACGCACGAAATCCCCCCTAGCTTCATTAACGTTACCAAAAAAAAATGAAGATATAATTCGAAGCAGTCGGCTATGGTAAGCCACATAATGGTTCTTACGGTGTAAGAATGAATCGCGGCACCGAAGAGAAAAATTTAGAGAGCCTTTCATTTTTACCTCTCGCGCGCAGCGATGTGATGCGAAACGGTAAAACATTTTTGTTGCGCTCTAGATGACGTTTAGCGTATTCAAGTTTCCTTTGATGTAGACACGACGTGTATTGACACGACGGCTGGTAGTGATAACATCATTCCAACATTTTACACATTGTGTAAGTTCAACTACGAGAAAAAAAATTCAGACGGCTGTAACTATAGCATAGATTGTGTTACAAAACTTCTGTTGTAACCTGCATCAATTTACTTGATTACATTTAACGCACATTTAACGCAAGTATCAACATTACATTACAAGTATCAACAGAATTTGAGAATTTACAACTGGTAACAAAAATTTTAAACTATGCTATAGATAACATACGTAGGAGCGTTTAGCTTTTGATTATCAAAACCAGTGAAAGTAGATATAATTTCGTCCTTATATTTCATACGAAGTAGAAGAACAAAATAGATCAAGTCCATACAATTTGTATCCGCTCCTGAAATCTATATTACTCCAAATCGGTTGGGTGGTGAAATCTTTAGACTGAATACCGTAGGTTTAAAACACATATGGTATATTTATGTGTCGTGCAGAAACCGTGGAATTGCCCATTCTATGAAATCGGCAGCCAGTTTGCTGATTCTGTAGAATCAGCATTTCTATACTATAGGAATCTGGGGTTGGGTCAGCCAGCCACGTTAATTTTTTTAATATTTAAATATAAAGACCTACGTACAGAACTTAAACGGTAGAAGTTAGTCAATCATGTAACGTAAAAGGAAACAAAAAAAAAATTAATTTTTGGATCTGCATTCGGCTTCAAATGTAGTTTTCGAAAGCTTATTGTTGTCTTTGATTGATGAATTAGGAGACATTTGTTCATTTATGGACCATCGTAGAAATCGCATGGAAGTGGGCAAGATGGCCAGATGTATAATATGCATTAAGTGATATTAACAAAATCATGCAATGCAAGTTCCATTAAAGTCTATTAGCCGTCAGTAAACGCATATTCAATTATTTTATGCTGATGAAGGCGAAATACATCAACAGATTGATAAAAAATGTTTGCAAAAGACACTGCCTGGAAAAAACTGGCCTAAATTTTAATATAAAATTTTAGAAAATGTAAAATATTTCAATTTTGCTCTAATTTTGCTTAACATCAAAGCATCGAACGTACGATTGGAGCCATCTTATCAGTCGAGATATGTTTCAGAATTGCGCATTATTGCTGGAGATCAAAGCTCAAATAAAGTTAAACTCTTTTTAAAACATACGTAATTTCATATGTAATAGTTGATCTGCCACAGTTTAAAGCATGAGAAGTGCATTATCCCATGTAGTTCACAGAATGATGAATGGTTAAAAGATTACAGTAGCGCTTATCAGACGGGTGTATAGTATAGTATAGTATAGTATAGTATAGTATAGTATAGTATAGTATAGTATAGTATAGTATAGTATAGTATAGTATAGTATAGTATAGTATTATTAGTATAGTAAAGCATAGTATAGTATAGTATATATCCGGCATTGAAGAATAGGCCTGGATAGGCCTAACGCCGATTCTTGTACTTTTCTTGACTAGTTCGCAAATCTAAAATACTGGCCTTTCGATCAAATCTTTTCAATGAACGGTAGGTTTAAAATTGTTTCTAGATTTCAGTTGTTCCGTAGGACACGAGGCATTTCAAGACTAAACATATGCTCCTGCATGGCTTTGTCCAGTCTGTTCTTGAACGCATTCATACTCGGAGCGCCAGGGATGAGTGCCTCTCAAGAGTTGAGTTAGGCATACTTATGAGTGCCTATGAGCCCAACTGGCTCTTCTTCTTAAAAAATTTCGGTAATTTGCAAGGAACTTGATATTATCCAAGAGACTATATAATACATCACAAACTCGGAACTGAATCTATGGTAAAAACTTGGCGTATTTCTGAGAAACGATCATCAAAATTAAACTTGCTTGCTATTTTCAACACTAACCGGCAATTGGGAATGGCCTCGGTGGTGAACATGGCTTTGTAGCCTTTATGTTTGAGATTGCCATCGTAGAAGTGGAAGATGAGTTCCGACTGGTCACTCTTGAACACTGTTCCGTTCTTAATTTCCTCGCCACAAAATCTGAAATCATCATGGATTAAAAACAATACCCTTTACACCAAAAATTTAGTTCTAATTAAGCGAGGCGTAATTTGATTGCATTTTTCACACTTTCACATTTTGAATTTTACGCACATTTTACCATTCACCACAGAAACGTCAGTGCGGATTTCCAGAGAACCATCCTTGCAGTTCTTCTTGTCATCCGTGCGGCGAGGATCAAGCTGGAAGTCGCTGAAGGTGACCACCGCTTTGTGGCACTTGGGAGCTTGCATTAGCTGCGTGTACGACAGCTCTGCAGGAAAATTCAATAACTTATTAATAAATGTTTATGTTTTTTGTACATTAAGCACACGATCGAAGTAAAATTGATGTAGGGGGCAGCGTGCTTCAGTAATCTTCTAAGATGTCGTCGGCATACATCAGTTTTCTAGGATGGCCTTTACACAGGAGGGATATAAACTGATCCAGTAAGACCTACATACACCTGACAATATTGAGTAACTTCTAACCATATGACGGAATGAATAGTTTCATTTGTAGGAGGCGGTGCAAATAAAATGATTTTATAACTTCTAATTTGCTCTTGGCGGACGACTCAAATGTCTCCGTTATGAAACCAAGGGAGTCTTTATTATGGACGACCTGTGCGAATTTACTGCCTTGAGCTGATGTGTTCACAATCAGACCAGAACTTACACTTATCACCAAGGAATTGCGAGGTTTTAAAACGAATTCAAGGGAAATCAATCACCAAATTCCAGCTAGAACGAAAAAAAAGAATTATTAGTTTATTTAGGGCTGGAAAATAGAAAGACATTTTGATGGAATTACATGCAATCTGAAATTGGCAAAGCTTATTCGCAACGACAGAAATACAAGGTTCTTCTTACTTTATCCAATCGAACAATACAACACTGTAGCTGCGCAACTCAGACTTCATTTGTTTGCCCAGGGTGTCCGCTGGTAACAAGCGAGGCGGGCTGCCTTCGCTTTGGGCATTCTTTTACTGAGCATGGTTTGAAGTGGCCATTGAATCGCGTGTCGTAATTTTTAATTAGTTATTTGTACCTAAGGCCCAGATTGTAACAAGCTGCTTTCCATCTCGTTGCACACTAGTTGGTGTTGCGTGCTGAATTTCTGCTGAATTATGTCTTGGCCTCAATTTGAGTGGCGGGTAAGGAAGTTGTATACTATTATGACTTAGTTTCTATGGTTGCCTCCTGTTTACCTCCTATGGTTAGGGTTTCGATTTTATTCGTTCGTGTGCCTTCCCTGTTGTTGGGATAAATTTCATAAATACTGTCATGCGTCCTTCTGATAGTGTTACCTCTGAGGCGGTTCTTGATATTTGTTGGGCGTTAAACCCATTCTTTGTGTTCAATTATTGCAGGTGGACGTGGGCATCTGATTCCATCCATAGTGGGCATCTGATTCCATTTATCTCTTTATGGTTCGCATGGAATCTAATCGTCGGCGAGCTGTCCTGAATCGAAGGACTTCAGTGACGAAAAGAAACTAGTGCCAAGAAGATGCTCCATACTCATCGGTGACGGAGGGACATCGGGTTAGAGAGGAGATAATCATCTCATTTTTGGGGGATTTGAAAACTCCCGAATGTCCTAGACCGTCGACTAGGAACTGATGAGCTTCTACGGTCTACATGAATCTGTGCCAATTGAAAGTGGGCAATTCATTTGATGACAGCCGTCCTAGTTCGTAACCGAGTTCTGACTTTTTGTCAGCAGGAAGTGGATTCAAAACTTGCGGCTTAGAAGAAGTCCAAAATTTTTGTATACGTCTCGTGCTACAGTTTTTTAATTCGGTTAAACTTCATTTATGGTCAGCATTGTATTGGCATATCGTTAGATTTTTATGATCAGGTTCTTAGAGTTTTCAAATAAAACTCCATGGCCTGGCTGTCACCACTTTGACTTAGTCTAGTCGTCTCACTATCCCGTTGGCGATAGCTGTATATGTTGAAAGCGCCCCCGCAACAACACTATTGACCAAATTTTAAACACGAATGAAATTCACATTTAAGTCATTATCAACGACATAAATAGTCAATATAATTATGATTATCATAGCATTATTTAGTAACACAGTGAATTAATGCGGCCGACAATGACAACGCTAAGTAATTAAAGACTCTTACTTCCCAATCCTTTTGGTTTAGGGTAGCCAGGCGAGACGACTTCTGCTCCTGAGGTCTTGATGATCGCGGTATACGGGGTGAACTGTTGCACCATGGCATCTATGTTGAAACATTAACTTTAAACATTGAAAATATACAAACGTGTGACATTAAATAGTATACAGTTTAATGTTGCAAAGTTCGAGTCGAGTTGTGTACGGAGCTTACTCAGGATCTAATTACCTTGTCAAGTTTGGATCCTATTTAGCAGATTCAACCATATATCTCATCGGATCAAAATTCACTAAGAGTAGAGTGAGGTAAATGTTCTTTCGGTCGCTTGATCGTTGTGATTTTTAGATAAACAACAGAAAGTATAATGAACAAGTCAATGATGCTTGCAGAGCAGTTGGAATCAAAAATCATATTTCGCTTAAAAAAATAAGAAAATAAAAATCATATATTTAGCTTAAAAAATGTAAAAAATGCCTTTGGCGGAAAATATGATTTCGCAATGCAACTGCCCGCTGATCTATTAATGTATCTGATCGAAATGAGTATGAAGCCAGCCACGGTAAACCATAATTTTTTTTACAGATAAATAGGTAATTTATATGCAATATTGCAAGCAGCAGAGCTTGTAGGTAAAATTAACAATTTTCTGAGACCACATCATGGCTGAAACTTTCAGACGATTTTGTCGAACATCACGCAGATTATATAAGTATACCTCATTGCTTCAGCTCTTATCACAGAGTACTTACGCTTACAGGCATTCACTTTTAACAGTTTTCAGCCTTTATGAAGTTATTTGAGGCTATCGTGCTCACCATTGTAGTTCATGTCGAGATTCTCACACTTGTCACCAGACGTGCCCAGTGGACACGCGCAGCTGCAGTCCTTCTGCGTGTAGCCGCCGTTCTTGCAGGGATCTGACTCTTGCTTGCAGGCCTTCAACCAGTCGTCTTTAACAAGAGATGAATAAATAAATGTGGATGAAAAAATTATTGTGAAATACTAGAAAGGGAATTATTACATGAAAACATTAGCTTATATATTAAGAAGCTTCGGTGTTTGCGTGATGTTTACAAGTGTCAGAAAATGATTAGGAATTTACTAATTATAATGTACACCTGTGCAG